CAGAGTAGTATACTGTTTTTGTTGCTGCAAATTTATGTGAAGAGTAAAAACATGTGCAGAGGAAAATTAAGCCAAAATGGGATAACATTAAAAAGCAGTGGTGATTACAGAACCAATGGGAGAGAATTTTTACTAGGTTTTGTATTCACAATAAATGGAAGAAGGTGGTTGGGTGAATGGGAGTGGGGTAGGGTATAAATTTCGGGGTGAATAAGGTATTTTGCACTTGGCGAGATGGATGTTTCAAAAAGAAAAAAAAAAAAACAATAAGGCAGCGTTACTAACTGTCATCATTACGAGGGTGTTTACATTTTTGAAGATCAATGCTTGCCAATCGTTGGTTCGCGTCCCATCAATGTAAACATTAAATGTAAATTTTGGATTTCCGTAGAAAAATCTGAATTTTAGTCCGCTCGTGTTTGCACACAAAAGGTTTCGAGCATAGTCCCTAGATGTTTCTACATACGATTGCTATTTATTTGAATTGATGCAGAGAAAATTGGCTGATTAGCGCTTTAGGTTTTTCGGAGACATTAAGATGTACCTTTAAACCCGAGATTAGCACCTTTTTAAACAATTGCACACAACACATAGGTACACATCTTCATTTCTAGGTGTACCTTTTTAAGCTCAGTCCCATCAAATTCAAAGAGGAAAATTCCAAATAAATTTTAGCATTTTGAGCAGCAGTTTAATTATCTACGTAATTTTTAATTACGAAATTAGTGGTCCACAGCTGCATAAAAATTGGCAATCTCTGTTATAGACAATAATCAGGAAAGTTAGTTACTAGTTGTAAAAGATGAACGTGAGTAAGGGAGGAGATAGAAGCAGCAAACAGACACAGTAAGGGAGGAGATAGAAGCAGCAAAACAGACACAGAGAGAGAGAGAGAGAGAGAGAGTGAATGCGAGGGGATTAGGAATTATCACAGACAACTACAAATGGCAAGATGGCCCAGCATTTATTTCGGAATTCAAACTGGACGTCTATTAAGGACTTTCTCTGTTTCAGAAACAAATTGTGTGTGTGTGTGTGTGTGTGTGTGTGTGTGTGTGTGTGTAGTTTCTTGCTGGTTCTTTCAGTTCTGCTTTGCAAACGTTTGAGAGAAAGCGACGCCACATCAAGAAACAATTAAGGGAATCTTTGCCCATATGCCGCATATGCATATATAAAAAGTCCATGAAAATCTTCTAGTTTGAATTTTGAAATGCATGTGAGGCCATCATGTCATTTAATTGTTACTGAAATTTTATTTAAAGTTATCTATGAAGATTGCGATGTATTAACGAGAAGCGCTTGTGTTAAAAACTCGCAATATATGAAAATCGTGAATATTTGTGTGCAACAGGCAATAGTAACAAATCAGTTAGTCTCGTATAAATCTTCTCTCGTAGCGAACAAACAAAATTTTACAAAAAACAATGCCAATGCCAGTCAAATATTTGATATGACTTATACCACAAAGATATTTTGAGAGAATGAGAGAAGGTATATAAAGCTAAGAAATTTGAGAAGATTTTTCCACTTTTTTTCATTCGTTTCTAAAACTTTGAACGATAAAGATGTGTAAATAATATACGTAAACATAATCCTTCGTGGTGAAAACATACGTACGTAATTATTATTGAGAGAAAAAAAAAAGAAAAAAAGCAACAACTGGCTACAGCAAGGTGCATTTAAGTAAACATAAACCTAAGATTAAAGAATTGTAAAGAATTAAAAATATTATAAAAAGTCGTTAAAGATAAAAAAGCTAAAAAAAAAAAAAAAATAATAATATATTAAGTTTTCAATAAAAAAAATAAAACAATTAATTAACATAAAGGGAGAAACTATTCTTTTAAGCGGCCATGAATTTTCGAAATCATATTAAGGACGACAGTGGTAACAAGCATGTTTGTCCAAACGATAGACAATTGGCATTGAGAGCAAAGTAAATATGTACCTATAAAGTAATAATAGCATTGTAAACAAAAATAATATCCCTTTTTGTTATTAACTTTTGTATATAACTGAGATTTAGTTTATTTTACGATAACACACAATAATGACTCATTTTGATTTTTAAAAAAAAGGAAAAACTCATTTGCCTTAACATATGCTTTGAAATAAGTTTTTTTTTTTTTGAAAACGGTCTTTAAGAAAAGTTGCTTTTTTTTTTTGTTCAATTATTAGACATAAAAAAAAATCCTTTGCACGTTTCTTTACTTAATAAAATGATAGACGACAGTGGGAGATTTCGCTAGAATGTAAACTAAGACTTTATATTATGGAGAATTAAATACACAGACAAAAGTAGACGACATCAATATGGCGTCAATGGCTTTACATGTTGTGTATGAACTTGTTGTTGTTGCTTTCGTTGCACGTAATTTATATCTTTACTCTAAGCTTCCTCGATATTTCAGGATTTCTTTATGACATTGAATTTAATTGATTTTAATGTCAATTTAAAATTTCTTTTATAGTCAGCTGATTATTATTATGGTTAACTTTAATGTTGTATGAATGAATGCTTTTGAAAATCGTCACACCAATGAAAATATTTTTCGTATTTATTCTGCACGCGCAGTTAACATAGACTAACATAGACTATTTGGCGCCATCCACCCGCTGAGTATACAGCATTAGAACCTTCTTCGATATGACAACAGCGTTATTTAGAACCCGCTACTTTGTTTGTTCGTCATCTCGATACATAAAAGTTTTTGGCAGATAACAAGTGACTATCGCAATGTATATATAGCCATTATGGGAACTTTGTTCAATAAAAGATATTCTATTAAAATCAATTAGATAGCAAAAATTCTTACTAAGTTCACGAGACATTAACTGTAAGCGATAAGGAAACTTCTAATATGTAACGTTAGACCAAAGCGATAGGAAAAATTGTAATCTAACGATGATCCAATCATCCTATTTTAAGCTAGTTTTCAAGACCAAACATTCGTAAATTGGCCGATGACTGCTAGCATGGGCGTAGAAACTTGTAAAATGATCATTGTGATACCGGGCGTCTACACATATATATAGTTATAGAGGAGAGATAGATGAAATTGGTAAGTACTGTTTAGAGAAGCATTTAACCGAAAGTAACGACCACCTCTGATAATAATTTCAATTATGAAAATTGCCACCTTCCTGCTTATTATTTAGTGGTTTTGGGGGGTACAAAAATTATATTTGGCTTTAAATGTAACCTTAAATAAATCATCAAAGTGGTCGCAGAAGGGCAAGGGTAACTGTTAAATTTAAATCACCATTAACGTATAGCTAGAAGCAATTGCTTTGCTTCAATCGCTCGTTGAGACAATTCAAATAGTCTTAATTAATATAACGGTAACGCACATTATTTCATAAGAAAATTTGCATAATTTCCAAAAACATTGTTAAAGCATATATTGCCCGACGATTCAAGGCCACAAGTTGATGAACAGAACGAACACGGAAAAATTTGTTACGACATAACCTCAAAAAAAGCAAATGAAATGAAACCACTTCAGCAGAAAATATCTTCTTGATTTGTATGAGCTCTTGTAAACTGATTCAGTTCTGTGCAGTAGCGAGTTGTTAGCATACTTACGATTCCCTGCCCGAACAGTCTAACTTGACCTGAAATATTCGTGTTATTAGCCTTAAAGTAAAGTAGTAAATCCGGTTGGATGGCCCGTCCTCCCGCAGAGCTATCTTTCTGCTAAACAAAGCGGACAAACTTTCGGAAAGAGTAAAGAAAGAACTTAGGATCCGAGATGGCATATCTCAGCTCCTAAGTTTGGCTATATCAAAAGACGCTATCGATAAAGTCGTCGCTGACATACAAAAAAGCAAGGTCATGGAAGAAATTTGCTTTCTTATAGCGCCCACGCCTCTCACAGAGATCGGTACAAATGGCAGCCCACGTTCCAGAGCTAGGTGGCTGCATAAGTCCAAGACAGAGAAAGAGAAATTTAACGCGGAACTGGAGACTGACAGAATTTTGCTCCAAGTGCCAAAACTAGGCATAGGTCAGTAAGCGCCGTTTTGAATTTAGTATCAAACATGAACGGGGCAAAGCAGATCAGTCGCAAACTTATATGCAGCGGCGCCCAAATGCTCAAGTGACGTACGCCGTTCCCATTTAGTTATAGAAAGTATTGCAAAGTAAACATCTTTTACGCAAGTTGGAAATATTTCATATCAGACCATCGTATAGTCCCAATGTTGCTTAATTAACACTCCTGCCTACGATTGCATTATAATTAAATTCAATATACTTATTGTACTCTTTAAGCCTACCTAAGATCTAAACTGAATTCATTGGAAAATGTTTTGTGCGCCGCTTGTAAGCTTCCACTAGTAGCCCTTAACGCTCTATAAGATCACGTATATCTGAATGTTTTGTGAGAAACACCGTGACTCAGGCAAGCATCAGTTCTGTGTCGACATGTTTGCTTCATTGTCATCAAAACCAAGGTCACGTCATAAGAGCAAGAAAAAGAAGCCAGATTGCCATTGGAAATAAAGCGCAGGACAACGGCAAGAGAAACGGTTTATAAAATGTTCCCGTACGGCATATAAGCTAGTAAAACTAAGAAGCAGTGACGTATCACCAACTTTTCCACGAATCGTGAATCCCGGCGATATTATTTGCGATGGCGATCATAACGCCAGACGCACAGGGCGGTGTTCAGAACCATAAAACCTGGCGGAATTCATGATAATTCTAAAATTGAAACGCTGGAGACCTGAGTGATATAATGACGATAATGATAATTTAAGTCATGATATCTTAAATATATCCTTTAGGCTAAGCATTATATTAAATCGAAGCATTCCAAAGTCAAATTTTGAAGAAAATGCTTTCAATGCTTGGAAAGAATCCGCTTTGAAGATTTCTCTATATATATATATTAAAATAACTGTGTAAACTTAGTGATAACTAAGCGTAAGGATCAATTAAATTATCTGAACTTTTCACTTAACTAATTAATTTTCAATAGAACGATATTTTTATTTTGAATATAAAATTTTGAAAACCTTCAGTAAATGATGTAAAATGAATACATGATGTAGACGAAAGCATGTGTACATGTACATAGAGAAGAGCGGATAAAGCCGTTAACCTTAAAAGAACTTGAAAAAAAAAAAAGTTTGTTGATTTTTTTGAGAAAATATTGCGCACCCACATGTGCGCACCAAGTTTACATATAATTATTTACGACATTCGCACAGGTGTTTATTTAATTTAAGGGAACAGTGTTCGTAACATACGGAAGTTAAACATGCATAAAACGTAGGCATCTGTTTATCTTCAGTCGTGTATATACAATTTCATCATCGAGGACACTTTATTCGCCCGCTTGCTACTTTTCCTTCGTTTCCCAAGCCTTTCTGATTTCTTCTCTCTTGGTCTATACGTAAAATTTATATTACAGTTTTCATCTTCATCTACCTTACGAGAGTAATAGAGAAAAAGACAATTAAGAACATAATAGTCGGGCAAGGCCTATCATTAAATACCCTAACACCGTCGCATTGTCTAACACATTTCTATTTTTATTCGAGAACACAAAAATTACGTCTTGTTTTTATATATAAAGGCATGTTTTTCAAGCGTGTATTTATGGGGAAACAGGACCCAAAACGCATCCTAATGTACTACAAGTTTAATCTTTACATAGGGCAAAACCAAAAAATAGGTGTAGATAGTCCAAATTTTGTAGAATTCATTTTTATATCGATATACTATCATGGGTTCATGGCACATAGATTTTTCTGCTCGACAAAGGATCAATTTTCGTGAAAATCTTTATAAGTATAGGATCCAAAAAAAGGCCGAGTTGATCCAAATATGGTCCAGTTATTCCATTTTATACCTTTTTATCGCGTGAATTTCAGTCTTCATTTCATGAGAGGGGTTTTAAAAATTTACCCAGCCGGTCCAAAGTTTCCATACCAATTGAGAATGCCCAAATACTACTATTTAGCCACTTGTCATGAGAAATCTTGAAAATTGCAATTTCTTTCCATATAACGACTTTTCGGAATAGGACGTTAAATGGTGCAAAATGGAAAAAGTGCGCCGATCCGAAATAATTTCAATATCGTTCGTCCTTGGCTCAAAGCACGTCATTGCAGCAAATTTTATCAAAATATCTCAAGAATTTCGACCTGTAGTTTGAACATAAATAATCCACACACAGACAGACGGACCGACAGACAGACAGACAGGCTTAGATTAATTCAGATTACGATTCTGAATCGATCGATATAATAAAAGATGGGTCTATCTTCTCTCTCTTCTGCGTGTTACATACGTTCGTACGAACTTAATATACTCTGTACCGTAAGGTGTAGAGTATAAAAAAAGGAACATGCGACACATACGGCGCATATTGTACTGTTATTACACTGAGCATATAGTTTATATTTAGTTTATTGTAGCGGCTGTAAAATGACATTAGTAGATGTCCAGTTATTGTTAGAAAGTTCTCTCATGCGAGGAGCCGTGCGATGATATTTTCTACCGATTTTGTGTCATGAAAGATTAATTATTGCAAAATTCCTTTGCATATGAAACCTTTTTTAGGATAGCAAAAAAAAAAAAGTGGTAAGCGATCGCGCAATTGATCTGATCCAATTCAATTTGCTTTAAAAAAAAGCTGAACCTACCTAAAATCTCTCTGAAAATAGTTAACGTTCGAATAAACTTCATATACCCGATAATACAAGCGGTGTAAAGTGTAAAAATTGCAGACTGTATTTTATCAAAGAAACAATGCTAAGCGATTACAAATATAATTCTATTTTCGATCTATATATTTCTATTTATATCTATCTGTATATCTATCTATATATTTTTGATTAGGTTAAGTTCCTTAACAGATTTCGACATCAATTCTTTGTACGACAAACGCTTTTTATTGCAGAAATTATGCTATCTAACTGCAAGGG